CCAGGGGTGGATAAGATTCGCCCGGAGTTCCTTAAGGCTCTGGATGTTGTAGGGTTGTGTTGGCTTACGCGACTCTGCAATATTGCGTGGACATCGGGGGAAGTTCCCCTGGATTGGCAGACAGGGGTGGTGGTCCCTCTATTCAAAAAGGGGGACCAAAGAGTGTGTTCCAACTACAGGGGAATCACGCTCTTAAGCCTCCCTGGTAAGGTCTATTCGGGGGTTCTGGAGAGGAGGGTCCGTTGGATAGTCGAACCTCGGATTCAGGAGGAACAGTGCGGTTTTCGTCTTGGCCGTGGAACACTGGACCAGCTCTACACTCTCAGCAGGGTCCTGGAGGGTGCATGGGAGTTTGCCCAACCAGTCTACATGTGCTTTGTGGACTTGGAGAAGGCATTCGACTGCGTCCCTCGGGGGGCCCTGTGGGAGGTACTCTGGGAGTATGGGGTACCGGGCCCTTTGATACGGGCTGTTAGGTCCCTGTATGACCGGTGTCAGAGCCTGGTCCGCATCGCCGGCAGTAAGTCGGGCTTGTTTCCGGTGAGAGTTGGACTCCGCCAAGGTTGCCCTTTGTCACTGATTCTGTTCATAACTTTTATGGACAGAATTTCTAGGCGCAGCCAAGGTGTTGAGGGGATCCGTTTTGGTGGCCTTAGGATTGCGTCTCTGCTTTTTGCAGATGATGTGGTCTTATTGGCTTCATCAGATCGTGATCTACAGCTTTCGCTGGAGCGGTTCGCAGCCGAATGCGATGCGGCCGGGATGAAGGTCAGTTCCTCCAAATCCGAGGCCATGGTCTTGAGCCGGAAAAGGGTAGAGTGCCCTCTCCGGATCGGGGAGGAGATCCTGCCCCAAGTGGAAGAGTTCAAGTATCTTGGGGTCTTGTTCACGAATGAGGGAAAAATGGAGCGTGAGATCGATAGCCGGATAGGTGCAGCGTCTGCAGTGAAGCGGGCGCTGTACAGGTCTGTCGTGGTGAAGAGAGAGCTGAGTCAAAAGGCGAAGCTCTCAATTTACCGATCGATCTACGTTCCCACCCTCATCTATGGTCACGAGCTTTGGGTTGTGACCGAAAGAATGAGATCTCGGATACAAGCGGCCGAAATGAGTTTTCTCCGCAGGGTGTCTGGGCTCTCCCTTAGAGACAGGGTGAGAAGCTCGATCATCCGGGAGGGACTTGGAATAGAGCCGCTGCTTCTCCACGTCGAGAGGAGCCAGTTGAGGTGGCTTGGGCATCTGTTTAGGATGCCTTCTGGACACCTCCCTGGTGAGGTGTTCTGGACACGTCCCACCGGAAGGAGGCCCAGAGGAAGACCCAGGACACGCTGGAGGGACTATGTTTCTCGGCTGGCCTGGGAACGCCTCGGGATTCCCCCGGAAGAGCTGGCCCAAGTGGCTGGGGAGAGGGAAGTCTGGGCCTCCCTACTTAGGCTGCTACCCCCGCGACCCGACCCCGGATAAGCGGAAGAAAATGGATGGATGGATGGATGGATGGATGGATGGTGTGGAGAGGATGGCTGTAAGGGGAGAAGGGAGGCCATCTAAAAGAAAAAAAAAACTCAAAGCAGTCTGCTCCTCAGATAAATAATGTTATTAACTTACTTTTAAATATAATGAATAGAATTGACTTGAATAATTGTAAACTATCTTCTAGCCAGGAGACTTATTTTATGTGTAGTGAACCTGATCTGACCCTGATGACCTCAAATCTATCAGATGGACAGAGACTGTTATTTCATTGATCTGAATACAGTTTGAGCCATCTGGAGACTTTCTTTCTTGAAGATTCAAGTGAAAAGAACACTCTCTTTTTATAATCATCACTGTTTTACAAATGTTTGATAATCAAATTGTGTTAGTTCACTCAATGTTACAGGTTGAAGAGAACTACTCATTTTTATTTTACATAAACAGTAAGTAATGATTTTTATTCCTCATTTAAAGAAGAAATCAGGTTAATATGCATTTCTTGATTTTCTGTCTTCAAGGAGCAAGCTTTTGTAAGTATGTGAAAGGTCGAGTCTTGGTCAACTAAAATGTTTACTGAGAAGAAAATGTCATGTTTAACTATTTGAGAAGATAATCAGAGTAGAGACTCCACGAAGTCTGCTGTTTCTCCAAAAATCTTTTCTGTCTGTTAAGCAATCTCATTCTCTGCCCTTGGCTTATCATAACATCTTACGTCACAAAACACACCTCTTTCTGGTCCATCCACGAATCAGAAAGCTCTAAAATTGACCCGGAAGTCAACTCATTTAAAATGTGGCAACTTCCCGGTTCTGTTAGAGTCCGAGAGTCCGAGAGTCCGAGAGTCTGGGAGTGATAGAGAGTAAGAGTCTCAGAGTGATGGAGGTTCTGAAGAAGTTCTAGAGTCTGAAAACTCTGATGTCTGATGGGGAAAACTCTGATGTCTGAAGCCCAGAGTGCTTCCGTTGGAATACAGAATGCAGTGACGATGTTGGGATTATAATTTCTGTTTGAACACCACGTACGACTCTCTGAGGGTTTGGCAGTTCTCACGGAGACGCTGAAAGAGTCAGAAAGGAACCTACTCCGATGCTGATTCCATCGTCAACCAGGTAGAAGGTTCTATTTTCGACTAAGTGTACCGGAGGCCAGCTGATATCTGATGGAGCGTGCACGTTCTGGTCAAACAGATTAATTCCCTCACAAATCTCTCTGTAAGATAAATCTCCATCTCCATCTTAAACTCTGCTTTCTCTTAAAATCAGTACAGATATTTTAGAAATATCTGAAGCAAAGTCCTCAATCACCGCCGCGTGATTGAAGCTCATTATTTGTGAAACTTGTCTGTTATTATTTTCATATTTTGCCAAATTAATGTAAATGTTTGATGTTAAACTTTGATTCTGAAAATAAATGACCGCATTCATTTGATGGGTCAAAGATAATAACGTCTCTCGTTCGCATTTCTGTTAAAATTCAATGCACGACATTTACACAGTCAGAAAGATGAGGAACTCGTGAAAAGTATGCATATATATTTCCTTATATGTCATACTACAGTTGGTGGCGTACGTCCGTACGTTACCACTACATATGCAAATGGAAAGATCCACATCCCCTGGCATATGAACACGGGTTAAGAGAAGTTATTTATCATATTAATTTTTAAAAGATTGGATATACTCTGAAAGGATCTTTTGAGAGATTTGGGGCACTTGGCAGCCATTCACATTTTATATTGAAAGTAGGGATGCACGATCCACTTTTTTTAACTTCCGATCCGATCCCGATACCTAAATCTGAATATCGACCGATACCGACCCAGTTCCGATATCATGATCATCATTGATTTTATATGAGGCTGTAATAATTTCCTCTCAAGTACAATTTGTACTAATATATGCATGCATGTCCAAAAAGGCAACTTGAGGTAAGTTTTATTAATGTTGGATAAGTTTTAAAGTTACAATTAAATTCTGCTAACACAAAACATGTTTATTTTATTCCTAGCTTTAAAGAGGATATTAAAGTGATTAATTTAAGCAATTGTTTAAAGTTATTTTATTTTATATTTTTAAGTAAGGGGCAGATATAAGAATTTTTTTCTTCTTTCTGCACTCTTTTCATTCAATGTTTTGCTTTTGATGATATTTTTCATTTTTTTATTTTTTTTTAAATGAATGAATAAATGAATTAGAATAAAATAAAATGTTAAATGGCTTTAAACACCTGCTAAGTTCATGGCATAAACCAACAGACATGTTCCTGTTTTTAGTATTTTACATCACTTTATAATGTAGCTGTTTTTGTTTAGTTTTTTTTTTAATATATATAATTTTCAAATCATGTTTTTTTTATGATTGTTTACTGTTGTACTGATAAATATCTCCTGGAGGGTAAACTATATCTTGGCTGCAAGTATCAAGCTGTGAAATCCTTTGTTTTCTACAACTGATAGTGGTTGATCATTAATTATGATGAAGTTTAGCAACTTCTCTGTAAACATTTGAGCTCCGTGGTTTCAGCGATGTCTTCTTCTTGTTCAATCTGCAGCAGGCAGCCTGATTTGGGTCAGCCGTGCTCAGTCTGTCCCTCCTCAGAGACGGGCAGACTGAGCGGGGCAGATTGGACGTGGCTGGCCGGGGTCGAGTTGCCTGTTGTGGGTTGAGCAAAGAGCAGCGCCCCGCTGAAGCCCCGGAGCTTGAATGTCCATCGTTAAACTAACTTTAACGTGGTTTAATGTGGCGCTGTGGCTCTGCAGACATTGCACGTTGCTGTCTTGTGGTGTTTAGTATAAAATACTTCCACACAGCGACATGTTTAGATGAAAAGTTTGTTAGCTGTTAGCCACAGTGCTGCTAACTCAGTCCTCACGTTGTAGCTGCTGCAAACTATGAACTGGATTTCCTGAATGTGAGGCGGGTCTTATTACTCTGGGTTCATGAGACACGCCGCCGTTCAGGAAATCCATTCCATAGTTTGAAGCCAACGTGCATCATGGATCGGAAATATCGGCAGGTTGGATCGGAAAAATCCGATACGTAAATTTTGCTGGTATCGGAGGCCGATATCGATACTGGATCGGATCGGCCCCATCCCTAATTGAAAGTACTATATGTCAATGCCTGTTTAATGCATGCATGTCTGAGTAACTGATCCAGTATGGGAGGGGTAGGGTGGGAGGGGATTTTGTTGAATGTTGTTTGTGTGTGTGCGCATGTGTGCATGTGTGTGTGTGTGTGTGTGTGAGGGTTTAAAAAAAATCAAAGAAAAAGACGGATTAAAAAAGTTGTCTTCACTTTCCACAATCTGATACTAAATTAAGTTATTTTCAAAGCTTCGTAGCCAACATACCTTCTGTAAGAATAAAGAAAAAATGATTTATAAAAATAAATTTTGTGTTTTATCAATATGTTGATTTTTGACAGTTTTTTGGTAGAATACAATGGAAAGATTAGATACATAGAATTAGAATGTTGGGTAGGATTATGGAATAGATCTGTGTTGGCATTAATGTATTAGAATTACATTACCTTCTAGAGCCTTTATCATATTTTCAGTGGTGTTAGCCAAAGTTCTGGCACCGTCTTTGAGTTTTGCAAGTCGATCTGCAATGAGTCCTGCTTCTCCGGCTCCCCCAGTGACTCCTTCATCTTTAAGACGATTGAATTGTTTCTCCAAAGTGAGTAGATCCTACAAATACACATTTGTATTAGCATGCAACAAGACATTTAGCAAAATTTGGTCTTCTTAATGAACTGCTGTGCTGCCAAATCTAAAAAATAAGTTGCCTTTTTTAAATACTTTTGATTTGAATCACCGGTTTGGTATCCGATTGCCTAGAAGCCTTCAGACAATCTGTGTTCATATTTCTGGTTCAGAACTCAATGCTGAAAGTATCTGAACCACCATCCTAAAAGTTTTAAATCAAAACAACTGGGGCCTGATGTAAGAAAGACTTAGTAGCTTTCATATGTTTATTTGTTTATTTAAAATTCCCATTAGTTTCTATTGTAGTAGAGACTATACTTCCAGGAGTCCACACCAAAAAATTGCAATTAAATTGTGCTTTTTAAAACATACAAAAGACAATAAAATACCTAAGATAAAAGAAATCAAAACACAAAAATTGGAATCAACCATCTCAACAAAATTTTACAAGCATTACAAAATGATGTCATGGAACAGATCCGTGCAGTGACACTCACAACCAGGCTGGCTGCAGGAAGGCTTTAAGCCACTGAAAGCCCTTTATCTAAAGCCTATTTGCCATTTCTGATTGATATGCCTCTCAACTTTTAGAAGTCTGTTTGTGAAAAAACTTCAGCTGACTGTATTCTTTAAGTGGGAACTGGTGACAACAAGGTCCATGCTCAATAATCCAGGTATACAATCCAACGTTTCAGCACAAAAAAAATAAACTGTCCAGATGACCTGACTGAAAAATGTTGGATAGGAACTGGTGAGTTTGTTTCTTTGTTTGTTTCTGGAGTTAGCAAGCTAGAGCTAATCTCCAGATTATTGTATTGGACTCTGCAATTGCTACATTTATTTGAATGTGCTATGGAAACAATAATTATCAAACATTATTAATTTTATATACTAAATGTCACTGATGGTGTTATACTATTTCTGAAAACCTGCATTTGCATTGATCTGGATAATGAAAACAAAACCTCTTGCAAGTAACTAGCCACTCCTGTTAACATTGAAACATTTAAGGTAAATTGAGATGGTTAAATACTATATGTGCTAAGGCACAATATTAGGATCTTTAATATTGGAATATTTAAGAGTACTCAAAAAAAATGAGCTTGATTCTATTTACAGTAAATTGTGAACTTATATTACTATAATGATAACAGAATGTGAGCATTAAAGGCCAAATATTTTTTTATTATGATAAACAAGTAGAATAAAAAAATTAATACATAACATAGATAAATAAAAAATACTCAAATTAATTTATATAGTATTTCTTATGTTTATGATTACAGATTACTGCAGCAATAGTCCATATACACCACACACTGTGAAACATACTTTAAGTTACAATTCAGCCATTTGTGGACTTAAGCTGACTTTCCAAACATGGAAAGACTCCAGCATTGCCAAGAAGATGTGCTGTGGGAGGACGAAGGCTGAGGCTGTGGTCACCGATGTCCTGTGTCCAAATGTGATCCAGCAATTGAAAAGTGGAAGCAACCCACTCCCATTCTCTCTTCCCACCGATGCCTCAAACAAGGTGAAGATGAACCATGTTTCATTATTGATAGTTGTATACAAATGGATACAATTGATATATACAAATAAATACATAATAAAACTTACTTTACAGTAGTCAAACATATGCATACTTATACACCTTAAAAAAAAAGAACAGTTTATATGTAGATGTTTTAAAGTAATTTCAAAAGGTAGTTAAGATATGATGCAAAATTCTAAAGATAAACAAACATTTTTCCCATTTATTTACCACTGTACATGACCTATGTGTCTCTAGTGAACTCAGATAATAAAACTTTTCTCTCCTTCTGGCAGGCTAAGCATGTCTATGGATAAGCTTCATGAGGAATGTGTGACTGCAGCTTCTCACCACAGAAGCTCAGGAGAAGGTGGCAGTCCAAGGGAACAGCAGAGGTGGATCAAGTTCTTCAGGCAGCAGACCTCCCCAACATCCAGCTGTTGTATCCTTTGTCCTCATCCCATCTTCCACTGGATTTGATTTGATTTTCCTCCCAGGCTCTGATCGAGGTGGCAGCTTCAATTTCTCCTCCCCTGTTTTTTTCCTTCTTCCTTCTCTGCTCTCTGTCTGTCTGAAGCGCCTGGGTCTCATCTCCCGAATGTAAATTAAGAAGATTATGGATTTGGTATCGTGGGCGTTCAACTCTATTGATAAGATTTTTTCATCAAAGTGACAAGGTCCTGGGGAACCGGCGTGTCCAGCTGAGACTCACGCTGTGGGGTACGTCATGGATTCGTGGGGAGTGTGGCAGATGATGTGCCTCTCAGTTCTGTCTCAAGAAGATGTTGAAGACGTTTACATATTTGGACTTATGATAGCAGGGACTCTGCTTTTTGGCATCGGCGGGGCACTGTTTTATCGACTTTTGAAGAAGACATCGGGAGCAGTTTCGGCCAGGGAAAAGCTTCCGTCCGAGTCAGTGTGAAGGTCTGGTACTCGCTGTGCGAACTTTAAATCGTCTGGTCTACGAGCTTAACCGTAAGGTGGAGGTGATTGAGAATCACAGACCACCTGCGGCTTCTGGGACTCTTCAGCGTGGTGGGTTCGACCTTGAAGGAGACTCATAGCATGGATCAGTGGAATTAAATTCCACAATTAGGCTTTTTCAGAACCAGAACGCCCAGATGGACTCAAGGCTGAAGAAAAAATCTGTCTGCCTGAAGAAAAACAAATATTAAGCTTATCTAATCTGACTCCCAATGGCCTCGGAGACAGGCTGACTATCAAA